TAGCATGCAAAACGCCAAATCGTCATTCCAAGAAATGGTGGACAGAAGAAAGACTATGTTGTACTATGTTGTCCTGTAAACCACGCTAGCAGAGCATGAAATACATTCATCCAAAATGGAAGTCATGCAGATGACATTATTTGTAACTCAGTTTAGCTGACAGCATCCTAGATTGTTTTTGTGTGGCCAAGGCGTATTGGCTGTAATCCTATAGGCAACAGGCCTTGTTCCTGGACCTTTAAAAAAAAAAAATCTGACAAAAATTACCTAAATGAACTAAATGCTAACTAGCAAATTGTACTACATATTTGTGTGGACACTGTCCATAGTAAACTGGCCTTGAATTCATCCAAAATTAAATATTCAAGCTAAAATAAATCAAGCCACTGCTAGCACTAAGTAAAAGCATCCACACAGCAGCTTAATGTGATTTTCATTTAATAAGTGAATTAAAGTAACCATTCTTAGAGTCTCTTTGTAAGTATAAGCCTCTCGTTTCCAGTACATAACATACATGCCAGAGGTACATTAATAGAGTCCCCAGTCTATTAATACTACTTCACTTCCTTGTATTACTTATTCTCATCTTGAAAGGTTTTAATAAAAGTCTCACGAAAAGTTAGAAGCCTTCTTCCTTTGTTGAAAAATGAAAAGAGTGGACACGGTGCTCTTAACCCTGTCTGCAGCAGCTGCTTTTCACAGACAAACACGAGCTAAATATTCTCAAAGCGCAGCTCATTTCCCTTGCAGCGGGTTCGCTGTGCTCAGGAGACGAGGCTTTCTGGCAGGCCGCTGGGAAGCAGCACTGCAAGCAAAAGGCGTTCAGTGACTGCCCGAAAGGAGGCTGCCGAGGGGCTGCCAGCCCCAGCGCCCTGCAGAAGATGCTGTGAGCTGAGCTGCGGGATGCTGAGGCTGCCCCATGCCACCCTTCACCTGCCCCAGGACCCCATGGCTCCTTCCTCTCACATGCCGCTGTCCTTTTACAAATTGTGGTGTGGCCTTGCTTCATTGGAATAGGTGTGGTAAAAAATAGAAATGCCACGTGTATGCGTTACTTATTAAGCTAACAGCTGCTGCAGCATCCGAGGCCTTGTTCTCGTTAATATGCAGCATCTCTTCATGGCACTTGGCAATGCTAAACTATTACTCTAATGACATTTATTTAATTTCTTCCAAATTGGATGGATATCTAAAAATCAGAACTCAAGTGCTTCAGAAGATGGACCTTATCTCCATGTAAGTCATAAAAGCAGCCACTGGCATATGTGGCACTATGTAAATAAATCATAATTGTGACATGTAATAAAACACAGAAAAATGATGTCAGCTTCCTATGGAAGAAAGGGATTCCTGAAATACGCATATTCTAGTGATTAAAGAAGATAAAAAGAAAACACGTTAACAGTGCCAAGCCACCTGAACTTGAAACCCGGGATCAGATTTATTAAGCACGTTTCCAAAAGCAGCACAAGAATGCTACACAGGAAACGTGCCACCGGCCAGGAGAAACTGTCACCAAAGCTGACAACACAACTGGCAACAGACTCCATTCAGGGGGCGCACATCACAGGTTTTATTTTTACCACTAGAGTAAGTGTCAAGTCAGCATTTCGTCTCTGATTACCAAAGATTCAGTCAGCACCAAATGGTAAAGGAGCACCAGTCCTTTCTCCCTTTTATTGAACTATTACATCCCTTACCTATTAAGGTGGACAGCATTAAGCAGGCAGGCAGTAACAGCATATGCTCAGACACAGTTTTTAGAAATTCCATAGGACTACGGCATTTTGTGGATGAGACATCTGGGCACAGATCTGGAGATGTTGTACAAATCTTTCCCTCCATCCTGCCCCCAAAAAATGTAGCAACCCACTCCCACTGTAAATCATCACAACTTTTTTTTTTTTCTTTTAAACTAAGATTTTATGTACATAGGAAAAAAAAATCCAAACTATCAGAAAATGCAGTTTTTCACCTTTACATAAAAAAAAAAAAAAGCTAAACATGATTTGTGATTTGCTGTATGTCTTAGTTGATTTTAGGGAGATTATAACAGTCTCAGTCTGACTCAGAAGCAGGCTTTTATTAACATAAGTGTCTGGAAGAGGTACACAGGGACATGTTAGGCAGCACTAAAAATATATATTTATGTACAATGTCCCCTAAGTATACTCAGAAATGATATTTCAGAAGTTTATTACTTTATTATTCAACCAGATTTTCAGAGCAGCCATAGATATAATACAAAAAAATAAAACACTAATGATATGCCAAGTTTACTTTCTTTGAATGCCTCAAAAAAGAAAAAAAATCATAATTTGCTTTGAATATAAACAAAAGATGGATGCAATGCCAAAAATGTCACTATTAAAATGTCCACAAGTGCTGTGCAGAGACACCCCTGCTTGTTCTTTCATGATTTTGCCTCATAATGCAGCTAATGGAAATGACTACATTTACAGCATGCTCTGGTTGCCGCTCAACCCAAAGCAGACATCCACACAGATTATTTACCTTGCTGGAGAATAAAAACTACCCCTAAAGCAAAAAACAAACAAACAAACAAAAAAAAAAACACCACCTTATTAGCAAGAGTGTTGCCATGGTTTGCAACTGGCCCCTAAAAACACATCTTGGACACTAAGCACAGTAAAGGAATTATTTTTGGTTTCTAAAAGAAAAATTAGGGGAACATATGACTTTGCCATTTCCTGACATCAGTGACTCTCCTTTATTTTCTGTTGGATTTCCTTCCTACAGCAAAGCCATATATTACCTACCCCTTTTCAGGAGCTGCTCTCAGAACAATATCCATAAATGCTCTCCTGTTATTTTATCACAATTGATTAACGTATCCCTAGCAAGCACCTTGTTCAGTACAAAAACATACAGCAGAAACCTCCAAAATGTACCTTACTAGTAATTGATACTTTCCAAATACTGTTCAAAGTGGCTGTGGTATTCAGTTCTATTGGGTTACTACACAAAATCATACCTATCCATCCTCTGTGTCCATTGAACTGAAATGGTTTCCAGCATCAGTGGTGGGTTTGTTTTAGTTTGTGTAAAAGCAAAGCAAACCAACCAAAAAAAAAAACACTAGGTTTTTACAGACCTGAAGAATTCATGGGCCCTTGAGATGAGTCACGATGCAATTGAGCTATTAGATCAGACAGAGAGAATGAAGGAGTTGACTGAAACAGATCACTGTTCGCCTTTTTGGCAAAAGTTTACTATTGCCATGTTCTATTGCAGCACTGCAGACAGCACTTCAAATTATGAGCAAAAGTGGTTTTTCAGTAGAGCCAGCCAACAGAAGACGACCGTATCAAAAGCCACGTCTTGTTTTGTTCTGTTCTGTAATGAAATCAGCTGATTGGCAATACACCACTGCATAATGGATTAAGCTGATGTTACTTACAGTGCTGGCTTCAAACAAAATTCTGCCTCGATGCTAAGGAAAGCATCCAGGATACATTGTTAAGTGCTGCTTTCATGCTGTAAGCAGCTGAGGTAATACTTTTCAACTGTTTTGATATTGAATGTCAGAACATGTGGTATGATTCAATACCTTGCTGTGAGTCATCCCTTCAGCAAATATCTCTTAACATACATTATTTGCAAACTGTCAAAAATAACAGAGATTGGAATAAGCGTTTTCTCCTTAAGTATCTTATGCATCATCAGGTAGCATCATAAACAAAGGATCTTGGTTTTAGCACCTGAATAAACCAGAAGTACTGGATTATGATACAAGTAATCCATAATATGCAAATATATCCTTCAATTAAAAAAAAAAGTCTTATTTCCTTTTGCATAAACATTCTGTTTCCCTTACATTTACACAATCATAAAATTGTCTTAGGTAGGTAGGCATTTAATTAATATCTATAAAGCACTCTAATTTAAGCAGCTGTATTTATTTTGCTTTATTAACATTACTCAACTCTAGGTATGATCTTTCCAGCAGAATACAACACAAGAATAATGCTATTCTGGAATTGACAAAGGTGATTCTCACTTAAATGCAGAGAGTTCCACAAAAAAAATCTCTTAAGTAACAGTTGAAAATCTAACCAGATGAGAATACAGTTTATGTCAAAAACTCACAGTGAAAATGCTGTGAACTGCACACAACTACTAAAGAGTTCTGACATAACAGATGGGATGTCAGAATAAGACCAACTGGTCACTAGAAGTGAAAACATAAATGACAGACATGTAGTTTTATTCTTTGAAATGTGACTTCATCTCCAAGATCTCCATAGCATTTGCTACATTTCAGAAATCATTAATTTAGGCAAGAGGAAGCTGTTGATTCCCTGGTCACTTTATTGACTACTACTGCAATCAAACAAAACAGTTTTTGCTGTATAAAATGGGATAATAAACACATTAATTGTCAAATGAATAAATTATATTATTATATGAGATCTCTGTTACCCAGTTATTCTTCGCTGAGAGGAACATATGCATTTTTGATGAGTTTCTTGAAGATATTTTCAGCTTATAGTTGATTTCACTCAGAAGAAAGAGGGTACAATTACAAGCTGTTCATCACCAAAACACATAATGTTACTTTAAGATGCTTTAAAAACCAGTGCCAGTGAAACGACTCACAGTATTTTAATATTTATGGAGGGGTAGAATTTAATAATTGTGCTGATCCTCTGGATACCTGTATATCAGAACATCCGGATACCTGGCTAGCAAGACATTCAACAGAATAGATCTCCTTAGTACTTGTGCTACATGCAAATTGGTAGACTCACATATACCTTAGTGTAACTGCTGCTTACGTTTGAAATTTCTAGAAGATTCAGATTAAGCAGTGTGTGACATTTAACATTCAACAGAACAGATAAGAAGATACAATAGCAGTAAGTGTATGTTTGCATATGCAACAGTATTTGCAATTCCTCCAAAGCAATGGAACACATGCCTACATATATACGTATTTTTTTAAACCACTATCCCATTAAAAGAGTAAAGTAACTTACCACTGGGGTTAAAAGCCATGCAGCAAATAGGCTTTTCATGTGCAGGAAAGTGGGCCACAATACCATCACTATCTGAGTCCTCACTGACAAGTACCTGCAGAATATTAATGGAAACAGAGGAAGGTTAGGAAATAAGTGAAAGTATCTAATTATTGATACAGGATTTGTTCTATAGATATACACAGCAGAATGAATTTAAAATGTCACTGCAGGTGAACCAAGCACAATCTTCTGTACATTTTTCAGATAATGAGGGAGAAACATTCAGCGGTGCAGAGGGATGGTGTAAGCACACTGGAGAGCGCTCATAATTCCTGTACCCCAACAAGCAATGATTTTCTCTAGGCAATGCAATACCTCGAGTAATAAACAGAAAAACAATAGGTAGCAAAGAGTTTTTTTAAAAGGAGTATTTAACCATTACATAAATTAGCTTTTTTTTTTTTTTGCAAGGAGTCGAAGTAGAAAAAAGGACCATAAACAGTCAAAGAAGTACAGGTTTTGCTTCCTACCCCATACGTATGTAGGAATACTACACCTTGCATCCTGCTAGTAAGTGGCCATGGACCTGAGGTAGTTGGATTTCCAAATGCCACAAGAAGTGCTCAGGACCAGCAGTGTGTATGAAAGCAGCTGTTAGAAAAGAAGCAGCTAACAGGAATTTTCTCCATCTTGAAATCTTCTCAGTGGACATTAAATGACAAAGGTCTGAGATCAAAGCCCCTTAAAGAAATCATGCTGTTTTAAAATACCTTGTTATGAACTGAAAAGCAATTAAAAGGTAGGACAGAGTTTTCATAACAGAAGGAAATTAACAGGAAAAGAAGTTTCTGGGCTGAGATCTGTGTGCAGATCTGTAGAAAGGGACAAGGTATGTTTTTTTAGCAGAGGATATTTGAAGTTAATAAACTAATGGGGACAGTCAAAACTACAGCTGACTATGAAGCCCAGCAAGAGGGCTTCCAAAGGGACACAGCTGGATTAGAAAAGGGCAGCAAGGATGGTCAGAGGCAGGCAGTAACTGCTGGTCAGCCTGCTGAGCCCTACCCTTCCCCTTCAGAAACGAGAAAGCAGCAGGCATGGCAGATCCTACATTGTGAAAGGAGTGAACAGAGACTAATTTTTCTTATTTTATCCAATGCCTAAGGAATAAAGTAAACAAAAACAAGTTATCAGGCTATGGGTCCACGTAGTACAGCACACTACTGTGCTGTACATACCAGAATATTACATACGATTGATAAATCAGGGAGGCTTCGAACTTGAATAGTTTTGGCAAGTTAGGCAACTGCTACATGAAAAAGCTTACAGCTCTCATTGTCTGGTGTTCTGTTATCACAGGTTCAGCTGAACTACATATTTATGAAACTACATGTTTATGAAACTACACATATTAACAGTATCTAGTGCTATGTAATGGAAAAGATATTCTTAAAGTCACAGAAGAGAACCAAAAGATGTGTGGACAAACCATATGCAAGAGCTGAAAAAGTATTTATTCCTCGGTGACATCATCTTATAGACTAAATTAAGTAAAACAGTGTGAAAGATCTGTCAGAAAAGCACTTAAGAAAATAGTATCTGTGGTACGCAAAACCACCTTTTTAAGAAGAAGATAATAATAAGTGCAAAATTTCCCATTTCAACTTCAGAATAATTTGTCTGCTGCTTCCAAAATAATCCAAAAGGTTTTTAATACTTCCTATTCCTAACAGATATCAGAATAATTTGGAGATATTTTTATGCTTCAAAAAGAGAAATCATCTTTAAATGTTTAAAGAAGTCACGTAATATGGATGCAGAGGCCTGCGCCTGACTTATTTTAAATGTTCCAATTACTTGGCACTGTCACATAAGCACAATTATGGTTTTGCTTTCCGTTGTCAGCATTCCGTGCTTATTCCAGAACCACTAACCAAAGGGTCTGGAGATCTTCCTAAGAGCTTTTCAAAGAAACAGTGTTCTTTTCTCAGCCTATATAAACTGCACTAAATAACTCCTATACATCATCCTTTCACAACTTCCACTTTTAGGTAACTTAGTCTTATCCTAAACATTTCACTCTAATTAAAAATACATGATAATGATAAAGTAACATCATAAACCAGCTTCACAGAAGAAACAGAAGGTTCTTTAAATCCAGTCTGTTAAACAAAAATGTTTAACCTAGAAACGTGTAGGTATCAACAGCATCTAAATCACTGCTATAAGCATTTATACAGAATCTCACATGCATATTCTTCTTCAGACTGTAATCTGGATTAATTTGGGGCATGTATTTTTTTTTGTTGTTTTTAAGCTAATGACAAATGTACCACTCTTATCATCCCCACACCATAAAATTCCCACTTAAAGCAGAAATGTCACATTGAAAATGGTGAGACACCTCGGTCATATTAACTTGAGAACACAACAAAGCCCCAATCTATTATTTGTAGGCTATGCTGTTTCCGTGCTTTAAAATGTTTTTTCAATCACTGATTAAAATCGCCATCCTGAAATAACATCCTTTGTGCTTAATCTGAAAGGAGTTTTTCCAAAATCTCCACTTTTCAATATAAAAGCTGATTTGCAGATATAGCAAACTTGTTTTGGCTGTTATACAATTCCTTTGTTTGTGCTAGAAATAAAAAGAAGAAGAACTTGTTGGCCTCACACCCATTCAAGAAACCAAAGCGCCTGCGACCTTGCGGCTCCTGGAAAGCCCAGCCTGCCACCAAGGCTGCCTCACACAGAGCCGTGCCCTGCATTAGCCAAGTCAGAACACAAAACAAACAAACAAAACACACCTCCACCACCAAGAACACCTTGCTTACGCTGAAGTTTGGAAAACCTTGGGCTGGGGAGAATCTGACGCTCAGTTTGTGCTGGTGCCACACTCCTTCCCTCACACCGTGTATCTGTCACTCCTTCCCACGGTGGCCACAGAATGGCAATAGTTGCCCGTGAAGCACACTCGCTTGTGCGAGATACGATGAAGTGAAGTTCTTCATCTTTTTAAGCACCGTATGAAAAAATTCCTGGTCCTTCTTGGAAGGAGAAGAAAGTTAATTGTATTAAATCACCAACCTGTATTTAAATATTCTGACCATACTGCAAGATTTGCTATGCCCTTCCCCTGCACTTTTGCACTGGAGAATTAGGGAAAACATAAATCACTGTTTACAATTTCAACACTACAAAGAAAGGAAAAAGCTCAGAGGAATTACAGCAGTTGACTTAAGCACACCCTCAACCGAAGAGCCTCTTTTGCAGGGTCCCTCCTAAACCTGCCACAAAACAAACACCTTGTTCACCTGCCAGTCTGGAGCGTGCAGAGCTCTAAAAATCATAGCCTAATTTTTACCAGAATATACAACTTAAGGAAAACAAAATAATGCTTTTATAGAACAAGATGCTTTATACCTGAGTACATTATTTTCTATATCAAAGATCTTTAGATGACTGTAACTGCATCAATACAATTTATGTGCATTTAGATGAACTAAATAGTGCAGGTTTCATGCAGGCAGAGATGACAACTGGAGCTGTGTAGTAAGGAAGAAGTTTTCAAGGCCTTCTCCACGCAGCTTCTCAAATTTTAGAGAACGCTTCTTACAGATGCTGAGTGGAAGACACTGACTGTGAAGGTGCTGGAGAGGAACAACATCTGCAGGCTAACAAACGGCACGTTAAATCAGCCCTGACATTGTGCAACTGGTTCCTCTTGACCAGTTTATGGCTTTTTACCACTGAAAAGAGTAGAGTTGGAAATTTTTCTTGGAAATAAAAACAATGGTACAAATTGCCCAATAACGCATGCAAGTGCTGTCAAGGAGCTCGAAGGAAGCGGCTCATTCGGTTTCCCAACACGCAGAGCAAACAAAGCCCACAGGAATCCTGAGGCTGCAATTTTTTTTACATCCCAACCCGTTAGTTCTCCAAGGTAGTGGCCTCTAACCACTCTGCTATTAACAGCAAAAGACCTTACAAAGTCCCTCGTTGAAAAGCGTTCATAAATCTTTGCATTACTCATATAATTGCATCGCCGCCAAGGTTCAGAAGGATGCTCAAGTATCTTCCCTGCAGAGCTCCCTATCCTTACGCAGAGAAACCCCATTTTAGAAAACAAGAAACCAAAAACACAAGTGATAAGAAAGAAGAGCCTTGGTGTTTCTGCCAAGGAAGCCTCGTCCTTCACCGCTCTGCCTTTTCTGACACCCAACTGCTACCTCGTCAAGGAGCTGCAACAAACAGGCTTCCAAAAAAAGCCCAGCCGACCCGGTCCTTCGCTGGACGCTCAAGGCAGAGCTCCAGGTCTCTCATGCCAGCTACGTTACAGTTCAACAGAGCACTGCAGTTGCTAGAGGATGAAGCCAGTATGCTTTATCTCACTCTAAAAGAGAAACAGACAAAACACCTAGGGGATCATTACATCTACTATCAGAAAACAGCGTGTGCACTGCGGGCAACAGATAGCCCAAGCTGAAGCTTTTTTCTCCTATACAATATTTTTCTTCATTCATTGCATTTTCCGTGCTGCTGAACAGAAGCCACTAGTAATTAGGACTTCAATTATTTTAATCTTTAGAGGCAAATTACACCACTTATCCCAGTGGAGACATGTTTTTAAATAAAACATGAAAGTAACACAAATAAAAATGGACACAAATTTAATCAAGCAGGTCCTACTCTTAATATAATTCAGAAAGAATGATCCAATCATCATAAAAACAAATAAGTTTGGCAATATTTATAAATATGAATATTATGTAATAGAGATCTTTGCACATACACTTAAGCTCTCCATCGGTTTAAATGGCTAAAGATGGTGCAGTGTCCGCCTCAGCTCCTACGACGAACGCACAAAAAACAACCCCTCCAAAGTGACCCCCCCGCCACAGCCTCCCCCAACTTATAGCTAAGGTCAAACATCAGTGGAAAAGGGCTAAAAGTGATAAATCTGTGGCATTAACTACTGCACTCCTTTTAATAGAATCCAGCATAAACTCAAAACAGCCTTGTGCTCAGCCTGAACCATTTATCTGAGACAAAAATGTCTTCTTGACAAAAAACAGATCTCCTTTAATAAAAGTAAGGCAGACAGTATTATGCTCCGAGGGAATCCTGTTGCTCTTTTTATATTTATATATAAAAAGAATTCTTCTGTAATACATGTAGATATAAAAAGTGAAGAAAATTGATGCCAAATATATGAGCATTACAACGGCAAATTAGCTTTTGTGAAAGCTGTTCTTATAAATAAAAGCCCTGGTGTTAATGGCCAGGGGAATTATGTACGCAGTTAAACTTTTATTATTGAATACAGTTTATTCTTTTAACTTCTTTTGCTCTAGAATGAAGTTTCACCACAATTGTTGCTCCTGATAAGCAGTATTTGGTGCAATTGTTATCAACGAAACGAAAATGAACTTTTGAAACTGCAGCAGTCTACAGTTTTTTTCCTGAGAATTCCTCTTTAATGCAATAAAAAGTTAATAGGGAACAGAAAAAAAAGGTCCAATTGCATTTTAAAATATAAAAAGATCAACATGTTATCTTATTTTTCTAAGTTACTTTCAAAATATTTCCTCCGATATTTTCACGTGTTTTGGATGATCTGCGAAAGCACCACGATGATGTATCATCAATCACACTGCTCTATCAAAAGCATTAAGAATCGAGTTTTGTATTTTTAAATGGCCACATATTTCTCTGTCAACCCAACGTTAGATGTTTAACAGATTTACATTCAGTCACAAAACTGGCGACTTTTGAGAAAGGTCATTATTGCAGCCTACACGTGGGTGGCCCAGTTGATGAATTAATTAAGAATACAGAAACAAAGGTCAAACGAAAATAATTTTTCCTTAAAACGCAAGCCACTAAAGTCTTACACATTTAATTCCAATTACTGAAAAAGAGGACATCTGTACAGCTTTAGTTTTATCCATTTCAACTAATTAACAGATTCAAATAAATAGTCATTACATCTAACTGAAAAGTTTGCTAACACTTCATTAGAAGGAAGTTTAAACAAGCGCACAACCTTGTTAACATATTTCGGTTTACCACAAAGTTACTTGGGCATCTCGATAATTATTTTTACTCCCTTTACAAATATATCATGACAGCCAACTCCAATAATCCTACATTCCTATGCATTTATTTCATGGCTTCATAATTCAGATTTTCTTAAGGTGCCACCTATTCTGAAGGTAGGAACGATCACATGAGATTTCACTACAATACCTACATTCATCAGCTTTATTAAAAATATTTTTCCCATAGACTTTATCTCTTCAAAATCACATTAGGAGACTTCTGTGGTCTTTAATGGTGTATTTTTTAGTTCTAAGCTAGTATTTCAACCCATGCCACAGTAGCACAGTTTCATGAAATGCACTGACCTCCATCCCACATTCATTACACTGGATACCTTTGAAATGGCAAATTATATAAAGCAACTAGGAAAAACTTGTGAAAAGGTGTAGTTAGTCCTTCTGGCCTACGTCCAAAACATGTTCCTTAATCTGCATTCTAGCAGGTAAGTCCATATGGTAGCACACTCGTGCAGCTCACTCCGTTTTTATAAAGCCACACTGCCATGCTCCAGGTAAATGGACAAGCACACACATCGCTACTCTGTTAGCCCAGCAAAACTTCTCCCCACTGAAAGAGCTTATTTCTCCTTCTAAAGGACATGCTTACTTGCTTTAGATTTGCTGCTTTTCTTTTCCATTTCCTTTCTCTTCTCAAAACTGCTTTCTTTCCTTTTTAAATTACGTATTATCATAAAGAAACACTGCATTACTTGGAAGTTGCTTTATTTCAAAATTTCACCCAGATTCTTAGCTAGACTGTTCAGGAAAAGAAAACTTTATGGACCTAAAGGAGATGAGGTGTTCCTTTTACACTAGCAGTCAGCTGATAAGAAAACAATTCCTTTCTGCCTCTGAAATTCCCCTTGCTTTCAATTATGCTGCACAACGCATGTGCACACGCACACAAATAAATCCATTTACGTAGCTGCTGGACGAATCTCTGATGAAAGGGATGCAAAGTTTTCGAACTGTCAGTTCAGCCCAGAAAGCACTAGGTAGGCATTCCTAATTTTTGCAATTTCCCTTTCAGCTCTGGAGGACTGATACTGTCAATGGGTATAGCCCCCCTGCAGCATCCCCACGCAGCAGCCACGAAGTATTTCCAAACTTGCATCTTCATAGGAAGCAGCAGCAACGCCACTAAAGCAGTTCTTGTACCTCCCCAGACCTGTTATTTCCCACCTGGAATCTGAGAACCGGGATGATAAACCAGGAACTTTAGAAAAAGCACTGCCGGGAAGTGTCAAGAGAACAGAGTGAGCTGTGCAAGACATCTGATAACTTGGCTGTGAGTTTACATTGATGTGCAGGAGCAATCCCATTTAGTGCAGTAGGATCATTTGCATCGCTTCAAAGGTCAGACTTCTAAAATGCTTTCCAGAATTGAAGCCTCATCCAATTGTGCTCTAACAACTCACCAGGACTACCCAGCTAGTACCAAAATGTGCCATCTGAACAGCAGCATGTCACTTCTCCCAGGCCTGCCTGCTCCTGTCAGCAGGCAAGAGCAGGATCGCTGCCAGGCTCCCAGGGACAAATCAATTCCTACAAACGGCAGGATACGACCCTGCTGCACTGCGACCACGCTGTGTGCACAAACCTGCTGCTGCTGCCTGGCGATGGAAGCACGGCTGGAGGGATGCACAACAGCCAGTGGGGTCTGTGAGCATGCACGACACTCCTTACAGGAGAAAGGTCTTCACTAGGGCGGCATCGAGCGACAGCCTTTATTTAGGCCACATCCAAAATGTATTGATTCTTAACAAACTTTCTCTTTCCTAAGCCCACATTTTGGAGAGGAAAGAATACTAAAAAGTCTCCTGCATCACTAAAATCTAATGCAAAAGAAATATTATTTGATTTTTCATAGAAAAAAAAATATTAATTCTGAATATGAGCCCCTCACGTGGAAAATAAATGATTAATTTAATAACATTTTAAATTTTCAGACGACAAAAATATGAATGTAAGACGTGCAAGCAATTAGGGTACCTAACTTGGAGCCTCCTTCCCTGGAGATTGAAGACAAAAAATTATTTTACTAGAACTGATGGTTTATTTATGTTACAACAGCATTATTTGGACAAGGCAAGCGTTATCATTTTTACAACTACTTTTCCATAGTGCCCTTTAGGCTTGATAGCTCCCTACTATTGTTAAGGTCAGAGGACAAGTTCATAAAACCTTTAAATCATACATAACAAGACTTAAAAACCTAAGATATATCATTTTTTTTCCCTAGGCCTATGCAGAAGAATCAAAGCACAGACAACGACCATCAGAAATAATGACTGCATTAAACAAGGCTTCATGAGAAATTTATGAAGCAGATTTTTTTCTTTTTTTTCTGGCAGTATAAGAGCCAAAAGACCTTTTTTTCCAGGAAACAAAAACGAATCTCAAAGGTCAACAGACTTGTTTTAAGACCTGACTCTGTGAGAACTTAAGAAAAATACACTTTCCTTCCCCATTCTCCTATTTTTTTATTTTAAATTTGCAAGAAGGGCCTCTAATATTATGTGGACAACCCCTATTTGATACTACATTACGTAGCTAAGTACTTCTGAAACAAATTCACAGGAACTACAGCTCCAACAGCATTCTGCAGGTTTTTTGTTTGTTAAGGAAAACAGTTTATTTTCCTCTGAGATAAGAAAATAACGTAATTTGTCTACTGATTTATCATTAATATCTTACTGAATTATCTGCAATAAGCATCATAAACAGAGGGGGAAACTGAAGTTAAAAGAATTTTTTTTTCTTTTAAATTCAAGAAACGTGAACGCTAGGAAGAAAAATCTTACAGAACAGTTACAGAATGTGAAGTCTGAGAGTCCTGAATGCTGACTCCATGGCCAAACATTTAAACTGAAATGAGTGGTAAAAACAAAAAAGACGTATTTCTATCTCCTCTCTGCCAAAAAGACAGTTAGTTCAAAACATCCATGTAAAGTTTTGTGACTGCTGTATGGATTTTTCATCAAATGATTTTGGCTGAGGCACGACACTGTATGTTAGCAGTAGAACAGTACAAACACCTCACAAAACAGCATCATGTTTGATTACTTTTTACTTTTTAAATTTATGTACTTAATATCCAACTTCATCATCTTTTTTAAACTCCTATTTAAACAATTCACCGTATTTCTACATAATCTCATTTTCTACCCACGTTACAAATTACTAAATATAATCAGGCTATATACACATTTCAACTGATCAGCATAAATCAATGTCAGTTACAAACTAGCGTTAGAGACACAAAATGCGACGTTTCACACGTGAGGTTGTCAAAGCATCATATAAATATGCTCTAAGGACAATATATATTTTGGCTTAATTTCAGTTCCAGGCAGAACTTTGCCACAGCTGAGCGTGTCTGTTAAAGTTTTTGACCTAGCGAAAAATCTCATCTATTTTTCATTTTCAAAAGCATAAAATACATTTTTCTAGGATTTTTGTCAAAGTGAATCCACATTCTGTTTCTGTGCAAACTGTATTACCTGTCCTTCTGCAACTGTCTCTGTATCAATAATAGTGATGATGCCGGGCACCAGAGGACTTCGACGAATGTTGCTATGAGCTAAAATTTCTTCTTCAGTTGCTCCTGAAGGCAGCGTCCCTGTCAGCTGGGTAACTACTTTCCCAACCATTGTAAGTCCAGTCTTTATCGTCTATAAAGAGAAACAGAACCAATAAATAATGATTAGGGCTGTTTTGTGGAGTTACTTTGATTTTTTTTCTCAACACAATTAATATAATAACTAGAATGTACATACCAGAAGCACACAAGATGTGTTTTTGTTAGTGATACCTTAACTGTAAGATGCTCTGTGTAACTGTAATATCTTCAAACATTCAGCATCCTACCAGTTTTGTGTATCTACTCTTATTTCAGAACTAAATGCTTCTAATACATTCTCAAAAACCAGAAACACTTTAGTGTTGTCAAACTGTTAGTTTTTCCTTTCTTTACCTTTGCTCCATCATTTGATCATTCTAACTGTGCCTTCTCTGTACCTCATGGAGTAAGTAAAGCACAGTGTCACAGACAGAGGTGGTTTTAGCAAGTAATGGTTAATGCTGAAATTAACCTCAAGTGCAACAAAAGACAAGGAATTCAGCCTTCAATAGACATGACGGACATGATCGTTTCTCAGAAATTACACCTCCTGCAGCTTTTAAACCGAACAGGGGACTCAAACCCAGCAAAATTAAGGACTCCAACCTCAAGGTGCTAGAAAGGTCAAATCCACAAAGTACACACATACCCCAAGTACAAATAATGCGACTTCCCACAGTCTGCATGTTTTCCAGACACGGGATTGAAAATGTATTCACTGCACTGGCTTTTATTATCTAAAGATGCTGAAGATTTTTTTACGAGTTTGTTTTGTTTTGTATAGGAAGAAAGAGGAATTCACTGGAGAAATGTGGAGAAATTCCCTAACTGTGTACAGGCATTAGGGAAAATATGGATTTTAAAAATACCCAAAACACAACTTCAGGATTTTCTCCTTGAATCAAGGACTGTGCCTTATTTGCTGTAAAAAATTGTCCAGATCTATTATACAATACAGATAAGAAATAAAAAAGAGATCAGGATGGAATGACACTATAACAAGCCAATTCTTAACTAAAAAGACAAGCTAAGTTGCCTGCTAAATTGAAAAGGAAAAAAAAACATACAGATCACAGGCTGAAACCAAGAAGCAGCCACAAATCAATTGCAACTGCTTTGTTTAGTGCTAAAATCTCAAACTGCAGTGATTAGAAAACACATTAGTGTTCATCAATTAGCAGCCAAACGTTTGTTTTAATAATTCATAGGAAATGACTTACACAAAGTCTGTTAGTGTGTTGTCAGGAAAACCTCTGAAGGGCCAACAGAATTAGGCGCCACACTGTATTGATGGCAATATCTAGCCAGGAAGCCTGATTAACCTCTGAGATGCCTCAGCTGATGTACTTACCCCATTAATGCTAATGGAGATACTACCACTTAAAATCGAGCCATGCCTTTATCATAGGAATGTCTTTGGGGTTTAAAGTCTTTAGTAATATCCTGCCATTTGTTTCTTACTAGTTCTTTTTATATTCAGATACAATAAATGACAATAAAACAAATTTTAACACCGGCAAATTTAGAAGGCTGAAAAATGTAACAAGAAGTCAATAACGGTATCTGAGGAGCAGACCTAAAATGGACCCAAAGCCATCACAAGAATGCATTTCAACAGACATTTTCTTTACAAAAACTGACAAGGCAGTTTTCTGACCAAGAGTTAAAACCATATAAAATACACTGCTAGGTTAGAAGTACAAAATACCTAAGTTAGAAGACCAAGAAGTATAATCAACTTATTTTGAAAAATATTTGTAATGTTGTAACTAGGGAAACTGGATGACAATGTGCCAAGTAGACGTTTGAAAGCTCCCTAGGAAAAAAATTAACATGCTTATCTAGCAAAATGAATTACTGTTGCACGTTCGAGCAGACAGGGACTGCAGGGCTACTGAGAAGTAATAGGTGTACGGAGATGTGGCTGAGGCCATTAGCTCCGAACTATCAGCGCAGAGCCATTACAGCACTTACTTCTCCGTGCTGTGTGTATGTTTGCAAAAACTTCGCTGGTAATCTTTAACCTTTCCCATGCCATATCAGCTGTCCCCACTATCCATTAGAGCTAATGACCTTGCTCTCACATAAGCTGTTAGGACTCATTAAGAAGTTATCAGGTAACAAGAGAAAACAGATGCAGCCTTTGCTAAATCACTTTACCACTACAGGATTAAAAGATACAGAGAAAGAATCAAGTAAAGTTATTAGGTGAGAAGAACTTGGTTTATAGTTTGATACCAGACATTCGACAGACCAAATGCATTTTAAATGAAATAGGTTTAAATTTGCACTGCTCCAATTTCTTTGTCATCTAAGGGAACTACGCAAAGTTCATATGCAGTGAAATTTTCTTAGAAATAAAATGAAAATACTTGATCTGATTCCTTTAGTAAGCAGTGATGCACACTGTGCAAACACACAAATTCTCTGCATGCTCATGTGCACCCTAGATACTCAAGGGAGCTGTTCACATTCATTTGAATATGTAGAAACACATATATTTAATTAAAATAAATGTGCGCACACGTACCTCATTTAATTGAAAAACAAGTACAACTTTAATTATTTGAAAAAATTAAAATGCATCATTCAGTGCCTGTTAGGCTGTTTTGTTTCAAAGGTTGCACATCCTTTTAATAATAAAACAATATCTTGTTCCTGTTTCTGATAACAAATAAGCCATTTAAGATTTATTTATAAATGAAAAACCTATACAAGGCAGAAAGATGTATCAAAAATATATGTCTTGGTAATCAACAACAAAAAGCCTCATGTTGCATTTGAACAAATTGAACATACAATCTATTATAGATTCAAATTCAAGCTAAGTGTTTGCTGAATGCCTATGTTTCACAAAGATGTCTCCCTTTCCTGCTTTTGTCACATATTCTGAAAAGAGATAGGAAAGGGAATAAAACCTATTATTAAATTGATCTTAATTAGCATGGAAATTTTGACTGCTAGGAATACATTATTTTGGGAGTAGGTCTTGAACAGACAGTGAGCTGAACTCTGATTCACCCAGGAACATTGCAAGACCAGACGTTTCTTCAACAAAACATACAAAAAAATTAAACAGATAAAAAAAAGGATCACAAGCATGGAAACCTAAGAATGTCTTTTCCTATATCCCCTTCCTTGCTGTATCCAAAAATGGACAGATAATGCATAATTAAAAGAAGCAATTTCACTTTTTGATTCCTATCTAAAATGATGCACCTGATGTTCTCCCATCAATAACACCATCAGGTAGCAATGGGCTTTACTCCGAAAGGTACTGTACATGCTGGTGTTGTTATTTACATCACAAACTGCTATCGGATTAAAATACAGACTTTCTGTGTCACTTGAACCATATGCAGGAGGTTATCTGTATATAATTGGGTCACTCATACCTACAGTAAGATCCAAAAAAATAGTAAAGAAAGTACTATATCAAATATTATTCTGACATGTAAATGAAACTATATTTCCCCTTTGCATTCCATTATCTGTCAGCTCAGAACCCTTCCTCTACACTGTCAGTAAGTAACCAGCAAGCATTCAAGTTGTAGGTGTGCAGTAACACAGATACAATTTAGCAAAATTATTATACATTTTCTTAACTTTCCCTATTACTTTATCACTGCACAGAAGCTAAAATTTTCCTTTACCTATGATTACAGACATATTTTATCTTCAGTAGCTGTTCATGTGATGCAACATCACTGCTTCAGTGTTTGCATACATTCAGATTAATGAGGGAATTTCTGGATTATGATCCTTAGCAAGTACTGTTCAGGAGGTAAGGTCATCATCTTGGTCTTTATGGGCCTTAAAACCTAGTTATCTATGGTTTGGGGGCTAAGGGCTATAACAGATGTGCTATTTTTCAGATTTTTAGTCTGTTGAAACAAATTAAACAGAATAGTACTTAGTCTTTAATGCCTGCTGGAATATTTTGACAATCATTTCATGGTTTAACAAAGCTTTGGAGTGTTCTTCAGTCAGGACTAGGCTTGGCTTTGGCAGTGTGCTGATCTGGTTTTAAGATTTTACCACATCTGATCATAACCATGGTTGATCATGCTAGGCCAACTGGCTTTTATTTCAAACTTACCTATGCTGTAAAAAAATGTGAATGATGTTGAGATTGAAGGAACTATGGGAGATTTTCCCCCATTTTTCTTTGCAGAATACGGTACCTTCAGAAAAATGGTGATCCAAAAAAAAAAACACACAAAAAACTGTGATTTTTCTTCCCCCTCCAACCACAGCAAGATTGTGTCTAAAGCTATGCTGATGGAATATGTTCTTTTTTATGTTTTGTTTTCACATGAGATGGCATGACCTATGTCTCTCTTTGTGGGCTTTTGTAACTGTTGTTTTCTTCAGTGACACTGAGCTTTCTGTTCTGTGCTGTCATTTAATTCCTATTATTAGATTTGTTTTGTTGTGTGTATCAGAAATGAAAAGGCTAGTGGTTACAATGAAAGCTTGTAATCAGCATGAAGTTTGCTAGACAATGCCAAAACTCACTGTGAGAGTGAGAGAGAGAGAAATTACTTGGCAAAACGTTGCAGGCAAGTCCTCAAGGAAAGGAGTGGGGTGGGGTGGGGGAAATAGTAAAACAACAGTTCTGCATATTCTTTGGCTCATTTAAGGTTTTTCCAAGCCATGGTCGTTTTCTGATACTATGAAAACGTAGACATTTCTCTGAAAACAGAAGGATATTATAAAGTCATCAGAACTAAAAAAAAAAATAGCCAATGGAACCTATACATAAACAGTCATTAATAAACTCTAACCTTCAAAGAAAGCTACTAGGTAATTAATTAGCTCCATACTATGTTGTCATCATTCAGAGAGATTAAAGCATGTAATGCTGGTGTGACTGAGTCCAAAAAGCACCAAGTACTTGTAATGTCAGTTTTCATGATGCTGAAAGACTAATAATTTACAGTGTTGATGTCCAATCATGTAAACTTGTCATATTACGAATAGCCTTTATGGCAATCTATTTTACTATGATTTTCCTGTCAGAAGGGTTACTAATATGCATTATTTTTTATTTCAAGCTGTTAATAATAAATAAATGATCAGTTCCAAAGGACAGGATTACTTTGTAGAAAACAGTGTCTGAGTACTCAGAAATTTTCAGGATCAGGCCCATACACGTGATGCTAATGCTAGCATGTTTCTTACCTTGTTTTTTTCTATTTCTCTTTTGTGAATGAGAAGGGGAAAAAACAGTACAATTCAGCAGGGAAACCTAATAATTATCTTACATGATAACCTCTCCCAGCAGCAGATGATGTACTCACTTTGGCAGCACTAATGACTGTGGCAGTGTAAGACTGAATGTTGTCTCCACAGGCTCCACCACGGGATTGATGGCATCGGATCAGCTACAAGAAGAAAGACAGCAACCAAGTAACTACTATTAAACTACACAAACCCATAACCCATTACCATAGCTTTTGTTTATCGTGTACAGTGGTGTGTTTTTTCCCTACAAACAGCAAAAAGCCCTGCTGAGACACTTAACCCCTTTTTATAATCTTCTGGGTGCCACCCAGACTGTCGCGTACTCAACTCCAGTTTTCAATTACAAGATGAGTACTCACTAAGAATTCATAAACTTTGAAATGGTGGGATTTTGGGTCTGGCAGTAATACCACAAATAAATTTAAATAAATATAATCAAAAGCTTTAGCCATGTATATGTAACTTTAAATATCAGACATTCTAAGAATTTGAATGTGGCTTTCCCCTCCTTTTTATGACAAGCAAGCAAAGCAACGACAAAGGAAGAGAGCTACTTTAAACTTTACATTTAATAGATTAGAGGAATGTACATGGGGTTTACTCTATATTGCTTTCCATCAGATTTAATAAATCAAAACAAGACTCTTCTACCTTCCATCAACCTACAAAAGCAGTTCTTGCCATTGAGCTCCAACTAACAATAGAAGCCGTGCTTCTTACTAAATAAAATGGCAAAGAACTACAGATGTTTGTCACTGGTACACAGAACGTGTTTGCCTGTTTTAGCTGTTTTTGCTAAAAGAAAATAAAAAATCACTGTAAGATGTATTTGTTTCTAAAGGTATTACTTTCCTGCTTATACTTAAGTATCTAAATAAAAATAATTAAACTAGGGAGAAAGGAGACGTCCACAGAGAACATCCCTGGGAACACACAAGCTATTTAAATTAATTTTCTGATGTAATTATTTTCGTTGATCAGTGGTTTATATTTTTGGCAGTAGCACTTTCTAAATCCCAAGTTGACGGGTTAAGTTTTATAAAACCCCCTAAGTGTTGCATTAAAGGAAAGGCAGGCCCGAATTTGCAGAGAAATCAGTTGTGCTTGAAAGGGTATAATAAAGTTATAAAGTCTGCTTCTCTGATAACTTCTGTTTCAGCCCAAGAAACAGCTATTCCAGGTGCAAGTGGAAGAGAGAAAAAACATCTGCTTCAAAATAAAAATAAGGAATTAGAAGCTGAAATTAAACTTTTCAGACACTTCAAGCTTTAATAAGAGTGATAATTGTTCTGCTTGGGATCTATTTTCTTGTATCTAGAAATAAGAAAAAATAACTTTTTTTTTTTCCCCTAGAGCTTAATAATTTCAGCAAGGACATTAAAAAAACAGATTTCCTAATCAACAAAGCGTATTGCTGAGTTGTCAGACAAACCACAGGCTCTGTTCTGACTCAGTTTGCCCAAAGAGAATTTAAGAATCCTTCCTTGCCTTTGAGAGGTGTTTTAGAATTTTCAAATGCAAAATGGATTGACTGAGTCCCTCACTGAGCGTATATGTCGATAGCTTTCTTCCACGCTACTTACGCATTTGTCAAGTTCATGAACTTAAATCAAATGCACAGAGTAAAGATATGACACATGAATACCAAAGCACAGCTAGTGTGGGTCAAAGATTAGGTCTGTCATCGTTATGCAAGTCCGCTTACAGATCATCTTTTTTACACAGCTTGTTTCTGAGATCGTTTCTAGATTTCATTCTAGCTCTTGTTTATAGAGTATGAAAAAAAAAAAAAAAAAAAGAAAAAAAAAAGTATTTTTTGAAATTAAATCTATTCTTACCTTATTTTCTGCATAAGCAAGCCAACGGCTTCCGAGCGCAATAGGATTCATGTTTGGCCCTGGACATGGATAGCAGCCTGAAAAGTTTTAGAAGGCAGCATTAAGAAATATCTTACTGACTTCTTGCAAGGAATTTTACTTACTGCCAAGAAAACAAAAAGTCTAAACAAAAACCTTTCAGTTGCTAATATCACTCAGTAAATACTTAGATTTTTGTTCCTAAAGATAAGACTGTGGTTAGATGAGCTATTTTGAACAGTTAATTATGTGTAAATAATGGTTTCTCCTTGTGTTTGCATTTTTTCATGTCATTTTGATACAGCAGGGTGAGAGGGATTTTAAAAGATTGATTCAATTGGTTCTGTATCTTCATGTTTTAATTAATTTTATTTTATTGACACATTTCAATTGGTCAACGCTTCCACTTCCAAGCTCTTCTAGATTTCTGTGGTGTGTAAATGCGTATTGTGCTTTTGGTTTTGTTTTTAATTATTCTACCTTTAGCTTTTCAAAAGACTTTTGCGTGTACTTAACTGTACAGTAAATTTGTCATTCCTTTAAAATCAGTAGCCAAATTTCCACTGTTCATCTGCTTTTTATTAGGTGTTATTAAAAATAGATATATACACATCCATAAGGTGAAAATAAGATGTGCAACAACTGAGAGTATCACACTGTTAGCTACTAAAATTAAAAACAGAAAATTTAAAACTACTGTAAGCAACTAGACAATGGTGAAACAAATTAAAAGCTTAAATAATCTACAACTAAAAGTAGCATGGTGACCCTCATCCTAATTGCTATTACTGTCCGATTTCCCTGTCCTGCTTCCCCTCCTTTGTTTTTTGTCATTTCAGATTCAGCCCCCTGGGGTGGACGGCTGCCCTTCCTACAGCACCGTGTGGCTGCTGCCTGCAGTCAGCACTCCAGCCCCACCGCTGTGTCTGAACTTTCACATGCCAGCCCTGACTCCGCGCACGCCTGCGCCGCGTGGTTCCAGCAGGCTGGTTTCAGTGGGATCCTTTGTCCAGGTAGGAGTCTGAAAGTTCAGATACCGAAGTCACACAGATGAAACCACAAAACTGTTTACTGATTAGGGCCCCGATAACAGGATTTGAGCTTGAGTGTTCAAACTTAAGCTAGTAAACAAAGGCCTTCAGCCACGTGCATAATGCCATTTACTAGACCTAAATCCGTTCTGGTACACAAATCCTATATAAATAAGAAATATCACAAAGCAGGGGGGAGAAGGAGGGGACATCAAACAAATGGCCACTCTCTGTTTTCAGCAGTTCCTGCACTAACACAGACAGGTCAGTAATTCAGATTCTCTTCCACTGGTTGGACAAACCCCAAAACATTAAAAAACTTCTACTCGTTTCTCCTTTAAAAGGAGCCCAGGTCAGTCGATCCCGTACCACAGGCAGGAGGAGCACAGTGATGCAGCAAGCAGCATTTTAGAAAAACACATAAAAAGAACAACAAAAGGGTATTGCGTAAGATCCCATTCTGAAAAGCCATGTATTAAAAAAAAAATAATCAGATATCTCAGCTAGTGTTCCACCAACGTCTCCTTTTGTCAGACTCTTGGATGGTGATCTGCTCATTACAGCAAGAAAAAGCAAATGTATTCACCTTCATCTGAGAAAACATTGGGGTCTTCTCTAACAGGTCCCCAAAACATCCAGACATTTAGTGAGGACAACAGGCTTTAAGCCGAGCAGCATCATTTTCCAGGCTCACAAAACAACGCAAAAGGTGTGGGGGGTATTAACCACAGTGTGCAGACACAGCTTTACAAAGACTTGATGAAACCCAAAGACACGCTTGATGGCATTTGGTTGGCATGAGCACGAACAGCTGCTGTACCGCTCCTGCTAGGCCAACAGCTCCAGCTCCTTTTTTAGACCGGAGCACTGAGGGTATTGCAAAATTCGGAAGATCACAGCAAGCTATTTCAAAGGTCATAAAGCACTGGAAGGAGAAAAGCAGCAATTCATCGAATTAAATCCATCTCGGGCCAGGAAAGCAAAACCAAGCGAGTATTTTGTAAGGCCTTATCACTGCCTTCATCTCAGGAAGGAAAACGAGTTCTGAAGAGATGATGCCACAATTGTTATTGCATTCCAGAAGTGCATAAAATGTGGGTAGCCAAAGACTCTTAAGGAACAAAGAATGCAAAAAAAAGGTTGTAAATACAACCCCAGGTAGTAAATACAACCGTGTTCTTCCGATGACATTATAGATCATGACCAGTAAGGTTTTAATGCTGACTTCTGCTTCAGCAATCCTCATCTTGGTAAGGACATCCATGTCCACCAGATTTTATTTAATTTTCTCCCCTTTTACGTACAAAATAAATCATTAAAAGCTGTCAGATGACAACCCTCATCACACAGATCTCTGCAGTGACTTCAGAATCACTCACTCGCATTTCCTAAATTCTGCGAACACCTCGTAATATCCTCGCAGAAAACAAAAGGAGCATCACTCAACAGATGCTCTGTAATGACAAAAACAAGCATTTTTACAACTCATGGCAAAAAAATAAATGTCTTTCTTGGAAACAGGCACTGCTTCAATTATTTCTGTGAACTGAAGTAACTGAAGAACTACAAAAGAGCATTATTCTTCGAAGCAAAAATTAATCATACACAAAGAACAAAGTGAAGTTATCTTAAGAACAGAACTGTTTTCACCAAACCCATTGTAGGTAGTTTGTGCTGGATTTGGTCAAATAGATACAGCTCCACACACATCAGCCAGTTCTAATAATATCCTCCACCGAGGTCAACAATTCAGCTCAGTACTAAACCCCTCTCCGATACGAAAAACAGCATTAAAAAAAGAGCTATTTCCTCCCTTTCTTTTTCTTTGCAAGTCTATGCATTTTGGAAACTCGCAGCAGCACAAGGATAAACAAAGGGTTATACTTTATGGGAAGGAAAAGCAAATTGTTTTTCTGCTTTCCAAAAAAACAGCTGGAGTCAGCAGAACATCATCTACTGGGCAAATGGGACGACAGACACGGCGTGACCTACCAAGCTCTGCCGCCCCATCGCTACAAGCCAAGCTCTCTTAAAGATTAACTTCTCTTTCTACCAAACTTCAAAACAACTGAGGAAAAATCCATTCTAAGCAACAACAGCAGCAATTTTAGCATGTTTACAATAAGGACGAACATAGTGAGACTGCAGAACTAGCTGTCAAGAAGACCAAAGTTTCCAAGTTTTCCTGACAGCATGGAGAGGTCATCCAAGAAAAGATCACAAAGGGAAAGTCCTTCCCAAAGTACAGCAAATCGAGCAAGTACTAAAAGACACGAGACCTTACAAATAAGCTTCACTAGCACTATCACCCACACAAATACAGGCACAAACCTGCAGCTATTTAAAATGCTTTAAGCATACACTTCATCTCTCTGGGCTTTATAATGACAGGCACAGGAAATACACTACGTAGAGCTGTGAAAAGGCAAAATGAAAATAACACAATTCTCAAAGTCTGAATGAATCCAAGCCCTTCTGCCACCTTACCGAGGCACGGTGCCCAAGGCTGAGCCGTTGGCAGCAGGGGCAGAGGGGAAGCAACCGGGGGCTGCCGTGGAGCAGCCTCCTGCTCGGTGCCATGCGTTGGCCATGTCCAGGATCACAGTGGTGCCATAGGCAAATTCTTTAACATGGCCGTTTTTCAGTTGCTTCCCATCTTTTCTATTTCTTTAAGTAAGTGATTTAGAAAATTTTAATTCAAAAAACATTCTATGCAATTATCTGGGTTCAAAGATAGCTCCGGCTTTCTCCTTGCTGTGCTGAATTTATATATTTTCTTTTACTGAGTATAGAGGGATCCTGAAAGTTACTTAAAGCTCTCTATACAAACGTTTGCTTGATGAGTGACCAGAGAGAAGGCATGTTTATTTTGCTTTATTTTTCTATTACTTTCATGAAAGTCTCTCTCACCCTTTGAAGATTTCTATCTTTATACCAAACACAACCACCTCATCTCATTCTGAAAATTCACACAAATATCCCCTCCTCTCCCTCTGGATGTTTCCACTGATCTGTGCTCCTACAGAAAGTTAAGACTCCACTCCTTTCCTCAAATTGTTTGCAAAAAGCTGGTCCTCTAGCTCCAGTGATGGTGGTGTGAGTATAGAGACAGCAGCCAGGAAGGGAAAGCAACACACCCCTCTGCCCTCAGCTTTTACACAAACAGCACATCGGGAAAAAAACATTAAGAGAAACAGGCCAATTGTAAAGTCATGTCAGCCACAATAGAAATTAAGCAAAAAATCACATAAATCACAAAACATGCCACTATTAAACTCGAATCATTAGTACTGGGACAGCTCTCTATCAAGCTGCACAGGATCTTCATGGGAAAAAAAGCTTAAAAAAGACAGAGATACCGATACAGGTACACACCCTCAGCTCTAGATATATAAGCCCAGTGTGAGGTGCAGGGCTGGGGACTGAACACTGCAAGGAATCCTGATATCCCTATCAACTTGGCAGTCAGTGTTTCACATCCAAGCACGCAACCCGTGAAATCCCAGAGGCAATTAAATGCCAAGAGGCATCCATGCTCTTCCCAGCTCCCCTCCTAGGGGACCGTGCCGCTGCTTCCCCTGCTCCTTCAGCAAGCAGGGATGCACGTGTCCTAAAGGACTCGGCACCTGTACCTAGCAGAAGGCACACCTACATAACCAGGTGGGCAGAGATACGCCGTGCAGGTGGAAGGAGAAGGATTTTAGGAAGAACTTTCCCCCAGAAGCGAGCCCTGCCGTGGTACAGGCTGTACCTGTACCTTCGGTCCCTGCTGGAAACGTCCTACCCAGCCCTGACGGCTCTGTTAAACAAAGAGCTAAGGAAGCTCTTCGCCCTGTGAAGTACTCAGGTTTAAATACGCACTAGAAGACAATGTTTCTCTCCAGAAAAATCTGACACTAACAGTCAGTGCTTGTCTGAACTAAGTCAGAACTCATTTTCCGTTTACACGAACTGGGTGCTCACCGCTGAGCACGGCTCCTCGCCCCGGGCTCTGCTCTGTCTCCTTCTCAGGCCACACTAAAACCCAC